ATCTGGAGGACGCGCTGCTCCCCTCGCAGGACGGCCGTTCGCGAGATTTTCGTCGCGTGTCGGAATCCCGTTCCCCTGGAATGTTAATTCAGGATGATCCGAAGTTAGAGACAGTGAACAAAAAGCTCGCGGAATACTGAGTCGGTTTAGTTGGCATTAACGAAGTAAAGTGTGACGGCGTTCTGGTGACAAATTACGGGCAGGCCTGCTTAAACTCGCTCTCTTTGCGAGGACTGAATTTATAAGAAATTTGTCGGGCTGAAAATACCTGTTGATCTTCTCTAGCTCCAAAAGTGAAACAGAAATGCAAATAGTTGTAAATCGTTAAACATAATCAACACTAACTATAACAATAAACGATAAAGGATGATAATGATGATGATAAAAACGATAATAGTAATAATAACTATCGACAATGTACTAAAAAAGGTTAACAGTGATCAGCATAATGATGATTAACGACTTCGTAATTAACGACCACACGAAGGAATTACTTACGTTACACACTATAAACTATTTATATTCTCGTATGACGTTATTTTTATTTCAATGATCTTTTCGCCTGCCACTATGTCACAAGCCTTTGTTTGCGCCAAGCAGCACAATGCGCCCGGCCAAATACCCTGTCGCGCCCCTCTTTTCAGGGGAGGCTCAGTCAGGTGGCCGAGCCCGGAGAGAGCCAGTTAAAATGCCCGCTCTTGCAAGGGTGACTTGGGGCGTTCCTCGGAGAGCCCGGGAATGGGCGGCGAGGGTCTGCAGCGGAGGGCAAGGCTCGGCCGGACGGACACGGCGCGTACCACGTGGGTCGACTCGGCAATGCTTGATGTGTCTTATCGAGAGAATCGCCGTTAACTGCGAAACGTTGCCCGCACGAAAGCCAGTGAGTGAATCGGGATGAAGGCGATTCGTGAAGGTCGTGTGTCATTTGCTTCCACCAAACAAAGAACTGGCGATATCTGTGCCTCCGCTAGCGTGGACTATCATAGTAACGATGATGATTATCATAGCTGTTATTGCTCTCTTTTTAGTTAAAATGATAATAACAAAAAATAATAATAATAACCATAATGATAATAAAAATAACAATAATAATCACAATAATAATAATAGCAACAATAATACTAATGCTAATAATATTAATCATAATGCTAATAATAATAATGATAATAATAATAATAATAATAATAATAATAATAATAGTAATAGTAACCATAATAATGATAATAATACCTAATTATGTTACTTGTTTTTCCTGATCATAATTTTATATTACTAGAGATATTTGTTTGACAATAAGGATAATGAGAGATAAACAGACAAACAGAGATGAACAGATAGACAGACAGACAGACAAAAAGATAGATAGAGACATAGGCAGATAGGTGGAAAGATATGTAAGTAGATAGATAGAATGACCGACTGACAGACAGACCCGCGCCGTCACCGCTTCTTGACGGCGCCGCTGCCACACCCGGCGGCGAAGTGCCCCCCCCCCCCCCCACTCACCGAATGCCTCTCTGCGGCTGCGTGGTGATGACGAACCCATCCTTCTTCCACCACACGGAGCGCGTGGGGGCGGCCGGCACCACCACGCACTGTAGGCCTACCGTGGAATCGACGCGGTAGTAGGCGTAGTTGACCACCATGCCCCGGGGGTCGCGGATCTCGATCTTCGGCACTGCGGGGGGGAGAGGCGCGGGGGCTCAGTGACCCGGGGGGGATAAGGATAACAGTGGTAGTGGTCATATGGTATTATTGGAAGTTAAATCATGAAAATAATAATGATAACAATCATCATTCTCATCATAATGATAATGACAATAATGATGGTAATAACAATAATAACAATAATAATTATAAGAATCACAGAGAAAATAGCAGCAGTGACAAAACAAATAATGAATATAAGAAGCATACACTAACAACATAAATTCCAAGCCAATAATACTGGTAATTGAGTTGAAATTATTTCCAATCCTGTTTCACATTGGGGTTATATATGAAACAATAATTATAATTCATAAGACATAGCTTCTACAACTAAACATTATAAGTTGTATATATATATGTATATACATATGTATGTGTATATATATATATGTGTGTGTGTGTGTGTGTGTGTGTGTGTGTGTGTGTGTGTGTGTGTGTGTGTGTGTGTGTGTGTGTGTGTGTGTGTGTGTGTGTGTGTAAATGTATATATATTTAATATATATATGCATATATATACATACATGTATATATAAACGTATATATATACATATATATCAGGTGTAAGTATTTTTCTCTCCTTTTACAGTGCCAACAGGAACACAATCGCACTCTTTTCTATCTGTTTCCCTCCTCCTCCTTCGCAAAGGCCTCACCGGTGACGCTGAGAAACACCCTTTTTATCTTGGGCGGATGCGTGGACACCTGGCACTCGTAGAGGCCCTCGTCTCTCTTCTGGACGTAACGGATCTGCAGCTTCCAGTTATTCGGTTGCTCGAAGTTCAGCGAATAC